CAAATAATTTTGTAAGATTGGATTGAAGCCCAATTCATCCGAAAATCAAACTATAGGTAAATCGAAACTATTAAATATTTATCATGTGAAAAAATATTTTTTTACATATTAGGAGTTAACAAAGACACTCAGTAGGTTTTTGTGTATTAAGATATTAAAATACTGTAGGACAATAAACTATATTATATTAGATAATTTATTATAATTTATAGCAAAAATTTGATATATTGATAAGATACTGATATGTTGTACCTTAAATTGGAATGGGAACTTTTGACCAAGATTAAATCGTATACACTTTAAATTCTGATTCTGGTTCAAATTCCAATCCGAAACAGCCTGATTCTGAATCAGGACCTAAGAATCACCTGCCGCCGTTAACATCTATGTGAAATTTTTTTACCCTTATAGCAGTTATCGAAGACTATACTATACTTCCATGCCATATTAAACTAGTGAATACACGTATATCTCTTCCGATTGAAATTTCTTGATACTTTTAGATTGTCAAAAGACCGAAAAGAAGATTATGAATCAATGATGACGTAGACTATACAAATATGAGAATTTTTTGTATCCCTTAAACCGTCAAGCGGACAAATTTGTCCGCTAAAATTTTTTTGACCTATTTTTTTTACAATGGTACAAACTTTTATTAAGCCACACCTAATATTCCCTAAGCTAAAATAAAGCATGCTATGTGTTAGTTATCATATAACTATTATCTTGCGGAACTTCCTCAACACTGCCCTAAAAATAACCTAGATAGAGTTGATTTACTATGATCTTTACGGTCATAAAAAAGGAACATTCACGTGACAATTATAAAATCGTCACATGGAGGTATCTTTTATAATATAATATTAAAATTTCTTCACGATCAACTTCACAGAACCGAATTTTGTGAGTAATGCTGAGAAGAAGTTAAATGACGCATTTGCAGCCGTTGTGTGAACTTATGTCTTTTGTTTGAATCAATTCGAGTATGTCATACTGCGGCTGTTGAGTGTGGCACATGGCTCAAGTCTTCGGGAATCACAATAGCTGACTAGAATAAAGATTTTCATAAAAAAAATTTTTTTATATGATCTGTTTCGTCCAATTATTTTAGTGGACGAATTTGTCCGTCATTAATAACATGGCTATACAATAATATTAATTAAACAAATTTTTTTCAATAACAAATGCTTGTTTTTATTGATTGATCATGATTGGCTAATATTAATTTCATATTGTTATTCTATGATTCATTTATAGGTTTAATGATTATATAAACTTGCTCACGTGAAGTTAGAGACTTTTACTAAATAAAGAAATATCTTTTTTTCTATCAGGTATTTCGGCTTAAACGATAGCAATTTAATGTAGTGACTTTATATTACATACTCCTATCAAAGTTATATTAAATGCTTATATAAAGGGGTGGCTTTAAAACATAATCTTATATAATGGTGTACACCAATAAACACGAGCCCTTTCATGCTATTCTAGTTTGGCTTTATTCTAGTAATACAAACCCTAAAAAAGGAAGTGACCAACGGGCTACTATAACCTTATTTTATAATAAGTATAGGTGAGTTATCTTATAAGCACTTACTTGAGACCATTAATTTATTTCTCGTTATTTGGTTGATATATAGTACAGATGGACATATAAAATTATTATAAAATTATAGCGTACGTACTTTATAAAAACTATATACCTAATTTGAGTTAATTTAAACTCTAATCCTCACCCTAATCCTAACTATTCATAAATTTGCTTAAATTAGTTCAAATTGGTTAATTTTTATATATCATAATTTTATCGCTTTATTTCAAGCACATGCATGTTCGTTATTTTGAGATAAGGTATTTTGATATTCAATCTATATCCTTATATACGGAGTGCGCGTTAATTTGGGGCGCTAATATGTGTTATTTCGAAACCATCCATACTATTTTTTAGGGGGGCACGGTTTGCTAAATAACGCATATGCCCGTTGTTTCGCGAAAATGCAAAGTTTATTTATGTACACAACCGCTTTATAGTTAGAATTCTGTCATGTGGACCAATCATGATCGAGGGATTAATGGAAAAAATCTTTACTTGAATGTACAATGTATATAGAATATTATAATATCTACATATTTAATCGGACCCGCGTCATTTCACCGAATTGTTTAGTTCACAGACAAGTTTTTTAATAAATCACAATAACCTTAACTCTGACCTTAATGTCAATGGCCAGAATTACTTTTTCTGTGAAATGAGTGTCGGCGAAATAAAATGTGGTGAAATAAACTTGTTGGTGAATTAATCGTCGGTAAAATAACTTGTCGGTGAAGTGATTTCGGTGAAATGAGCACCATCGTATTTAATCCATGATCAAGCTTGATCCTTAATTACCCAAAAATACCCGAACGCTTCAACAAATAATAATGGTACTTTTTTAATAATTGTTTTTATTTGTCTTATATGAGACTAAAAAGCTCTTTTATTGGTATATTTCTCACGTCACTTAATAGTGAAAGCTCTTGTAATAATTTATCAAAAAAAAAAGAATTAACAATAAAATCGGTGAATATGTTTAAGATTAGATAATGCGGCGATAACTAAACTTTGCCAAGATTATAATGTGCCGAGCGCAGGAGTTAAATTAAAATAAAGAATAGTGGATTGAAACGTTTTAACACGATAAGAGAAATGTCTTATTGCTAGGAGTGATTTTTTATGATGCACTTAATAAAAAGAGATGATTTGAGTGCTAGAGAGATATTTTAAATTAGATTAAATGTAAGTAAATAACTAAGAGAAATGCATCATTGGCAAAGAAAAATGAAAGATTATACTTGGCTTCGGAAAAACCATAGTAGAAAATGTTCTCTAGTCAGCTATTATGCTGCCTTTATATTTGTTTCTTAACATTGGGTGACGAAGCCACACATGATCATATGCTAGTTTTAAATTTATTATAAAAAAAAAGGGTTGAGGAGAAACTCAAAATTCAAATGCTTTTATAGTAAATGTAATTCGCGATATGATGATAGAAATGAATTATAAAAGTTTAATGAATAAATTTTACTAAAAATTGCATATGTAGGATGCTTCACCGTCTAGCTTAATATAAGCTAGCTATATTTGGAATTTAGCTAAGATTTAAATAAATCCAAGCAAGAGACTAACAAAAAGGCTAAAGTGAAGCCTTTTTATAATCATCTCAATTTCAAATTTGGATTTATATCAATATTTCGGGTAGAGTGAATAGTAATAGATAAATTTCTCATTTTTGACATGACTTGATTGCTATGAAGAAACATATGGGATTTGACCTTTCTTTTACTATTTTTTTCTTTTTTTTCTTCCCGACCAGGCGCGTACACTTATTTCTGCAAGTGATACAAAACTGAAAGGGGATGTCTAAAGCCGTGTCCAATCATATGGTTTTGACTATTTGATTAAAATTAGGGTAAGGGTTAGCCCGGGGCTAGGATTAGGAGTTGCTTTATAGTAAAATTGCCCTCCCAACATTTTTTGCTAATAACTTAAGACACTCGTTTCTTGTATTTTTTGCATTTTCACATTTTTTCGCTCTTCGGGCTGATCCGTGTCGATCAAAATAATCAACTTTATTGGCTCTATGTCATGTGATTGCACACGACCCAAATTTTCATTAACGTTAGTGTAACATGAGAGCGTAACCATCAATTGCCTCATACTTTCATTTCGACCGAACATGTGACTGTAATCGGGCCTACAGTGTTCGATCGGGTGATAACTGATTCGAGACAAAGCTGCCTCGATACTTATGTATCGAGTAGCTTTTTTTACAAAATTTATGATAATCAATAAAGTTCTATTTTCATAGAAAGCTTTTCTAACGGTTAAGCTAACAGTGAGAATACACATGTTTGAGATCATTCTTTTACAATTTAATTGGCGCTAGAGCATGTGATCGATGTGGAATCGTTTTGCTATTTTTCTAGATTCCTGATATATATAGTTATTAAGATAATTTAACGTGATTAATTATAATATTGAAAGCAAAAAAATTAATTTTGTTCTCTGTCTCAGAGAACATGACAATATTAGCATGTGCCTATTCCTGATTTTATTTTTCCCGCTGCTGCGGATTAAAGACGATTTAATCACTAAAATTTATATAAAAGGCCAAGATAAAACTACTCTAAAATAAAGTAGGGAAGTTAGAATTGGTCGAGTCTATGATATTAGTTCTTCCTGAGGCAAAAATCCTTCAACTTTAATTCAAGGAAACGTAATATTCTAAAATTTTGCCCATTGAAAAGATATTTCGAGACTAGACTAACAAATAAGGTTGTTGCGTAACGTTCGTGCCGAGTTAATTCTATCATACGTATGATCACTTCTCTGTCACGACAATGATTAATTTTCCTAATTCGGACATAATGGGTAAGTACATTATGAAATACCTAAGATTTGACTACTATATAATTTGTAATCCTGATTTATTTCTTTTGACTATGCTAATCATACCCCTAGTTTAATATGCATAATTATATATAAATTTCTATGTCTTAATGAGGTGCGTCAAAGTGGGTTAGTGGGAAAGATGGGTTAGACGAGTTATTGATATATAGATCAGAGACCCAAAAAATTTTCTCCGAGATTAGTTACTGTAACATGCAGTTTGGTATAAAATTTAAATTTGGAACCTAAATACTTGAACTTAGTGGCCAAATTTTTTAGCTTAATTCGTAAATGGTCGTAAAGGTACGTACGTACGAAAATTTGTTCAAAAAGATTCAGAAATTAAAAATGTACGTCATTGATTAAAAAGGTAATCGTTATTAACTTCGTTTATTACAGTTCAGATTTTCAAAGGACTGTGCATAAAAAGTCTACGTAAAAATGTAGACTATTTAGTGTTAGTATAAACATAATATAAATAATTTTATAAATATCGAAGTATTATTAGATGTTTAATTGGACAATATTATTTTATTTGCAAATTTTGTAATTAAACAAAAAACTTTTCTAAATGTCTAGTAAAATATTTTTAAAATCTATAAAGGTTATTAATGAAAAAGATGGGTTTATTGATCTTTACGGGCAGGTTATTATACAACATTTTAATGACGACAAAGAGAAAATAGTGATGATAGAATACACTGCTAATTCTTGGACCACCGGCGATAGTGTAATTGCACTACCATCATACACTCTTTCTAATTATGGAGAATTATATTATTTTGAAATTTCTGTCTTTAAAATTCCTAACATACCTTTACACCTTGAATTGCTTGCGCGGTTTGATGTTGATGATTATACCTTTTGGGCTAATAGCAGCTATCAATATTTATATGATGAGGGTGATCCCAAAGAATTCTTTTTTAATGATGCTGTCATTAAAAATACCTCTCAGAAAAGTTCAATAGATAAAAATGTGTTAAAACTGGAAGAAGAACGTAGACGATTGGAAGAAGAACGTAGATTGCTAGAAGAAGAGCGTAATCGATATGAGGAAGAATGTAAACGTAGACAACAAGAGGAAGATCGAAAAAGACTAGAGAAGGAGCGTAGATTACTAGAGGAAGAACGCAAACTTCTAAAAGAAGAGCGAAAGCTGTTTGAAGAAGAACGCAAACAACAAGATCCTAAACAAATCATCAGAAAGAAGGAATGTTCTAGATGCTTAAAAAACCTTGAAATTAAAGTCTTTTTGAAGATTACAGACCAATGTGGTCATGATGTTTCTATATGTCATAAGTGTGTAGGAAACCATATTGAACGTGAACTTAATAAAGGAAATATCAAAATATTATGTCCTGAAAATAATTGCCATAAAGTATTGAATGAGAAAAATGTGAAAAATTTTGTCAATAACGAAGTATCTGAACGGTATGTTAGTTAGAACATACATCAAAACGGGCGTTTACTTTCTTTGAAAAGTTATAACCTTCTATACTTTTTTTACAGGTATATGCTAAATTTTGTATTATCGAAAATTCCTACTTTTAAATGGTGTTTAAATCCAACATGTGGATCAGGACAAGACCATTATCAAGGAGGTAACGTCTAATTATAGTGCAATATTATTATTATCGTTATACAGTAATGATATAATTTGTTATATGTTTCCTTAAAGATGACGTTCCGATAATGATTTGCAATACATGCAGTCAGAAGACATGTATCGTGCATGGAATCCAAATTGAAATTGAATGTAAGCAATGTAGGCAACTACAAGAAATAGATGTAAAAATAGATTGTATAATATGCACTGAGAGTGTTAATATCGAAGCCTTTTTGAATATTACTGATCAGTGTAAACACAACTATAATATATGTCGTGAATGTGTGGGAGAATACATCAAGCACGAACTTGAAGATAATGGAAATTTCAAAATCACATGTCCAGAAGATGGATGTAACGAAATTTTGAATCAAAAAGATATAAAAGAATTCTCAAGTGAGGAGACATTTAAACGGTGCGATTCTTGAACCTCTCAGTATACGAATTATTATTTATTGATCTTTAAAATAAAATAAAATAAAATAAACTTTTGTATTTTACTGTAGGTATGAAAGATTCACGCTAAATTTTGTATTATCGCAAATTCCTACTTTTCAATGGTGCTTAAATCCGAATTGTGGATCAGGACAGGACCATTATCAAGAAGGTATATTACATTGTACATCTGTTTAAATATTCTTATCGATGCTATTATTCTATGTTTACTTTAAATTTATTTCCTTAAAGACGTTCCGATAATGGTTTGCAATTCGTGTGGACAGAATTCCTGTGTTGTACATGGACTTCCAATTGAGGTTGAGTGCGAGAAATGCAGCGAACAGGAAGAAGAACGCAGACAAAGAGAGGAAGAAGAACACAGACAAAGAGAGGAAGAAGAACGCAGCATGAGAGAAGAAGAAGAACGCAGCATGAGAGAAGAAGAAGAACGCAGACAAAGAGAGGAAGAACTAAGAGAAGAAGAAGAACGCAGACTAAGAGAAGAAGAAGAACGTCAACAAAGGGAAGAGGAGGAGCGCAGAAAACAGGAAGAAGAAGAACGTAGGCGAAGGGAGGAAGAAGAACGTAGGCGAAGGGAGGAAGAAGAACGTAGGCAAAGAGAAGAAGAAGAACGTAGGCGAAGGGAAGAAGAAGAACGTAGGCGAAGGGAGGAAGAAGAACGCAGGCAAAGAGAGGAAGAAAAACGTAGGAGAAGAGAGGAAGAAGAACGTAGGAGAAGAGAAGAAGAAGAACGTAGGCGAAGAGAAGAAGAAGAACGTAGGCGAAGGGAAGAAGAACGTAGGCGGCAAGAGGAAGAGCAAAGAAGATTAGCAGCATCTCAAAATGCTGAGAGTGCATCCGAATTTTACATGAGTCAACTAAAGCAATGCCCAAACTGTAAGTGTAGAATTGAGAAAAATGGTGGATGTAATCATATGACATGTAGAAGACCTGGATGTGGACATCAATTTTGTTGGATGTGAGTAGAATACTCCAATAGTTCATATGAGTGATGCCAATGGAAAACTAGGCTTCGGGCTTAATTTTATATAATTTACTGGACTCAATCATACAGATCCCTCAAGGATCGAGCCCTGTAAGTTATAAGTTTGAAAGCCGGATGTTATTTTTCCTTGGAGTCACTCATAAGTTTCTCTCAACGTTAACGCCAGAAATTCATTTTACTTTTTTATCCAGCTGCATGACTAAATGGAGGAGTTGTGGTCATTAACTATTTGAGTAAAGACTACTAGAATCTTATAGGTGCAAAAATATACCACAACTCAAAATGTGATTGATATGTCAAATGACATTCAACATATAGTATTTGTAGTTATTTATAATTGAATATAAATTTCCAAATCATTCTTTATTGTATAGCATAAATTTTTGATGAAAAATAATCATTTTCACTTAAAATGTGCGTAAAATGACTTTAGTCAGATGTGTTCGACTCAAATTTTTCGAATTTCTGAACCATCAGAGATTAAAACCGTAACGTAGGAATGCAAATCGTTAAATTTCATGCGCAGGCTGTGCAGCTTGCACATGAGTTCATCGATAAAATTGAAGTAAAATGAAGCCGCTCTCTTTATTTAAAAATCCACTATATCAAAAGTTTTATTAATATTCACTATATCGAGAATTTTATATAGATTGACTTTGATTCACTATAGAGAGCTCAAAATCCTTGTATCTTACTGCATATAGACTATCTTGTACAATTCTTTATGCTGACAACTAGTCTTTTTGCGATGTCAGTGATCACGAGTTTTTTAGATATTGAATGATTCGTTTCATATATTAGATCATCTTTTTTATTAGATTATCACAGATACAGTATTAATAAACCTTTCTTAGTAAGCAAATCAATAAATAAACTTACTGGAAAGCAATCGTTGTTTGCTGCTTCAAAGATCGGGTTTGAGTATACGGCTTTTTTAAATACCCGTTTGTTTTAACTAAAGGGTTTAAATTTACAGGTCAATTAAAAATAATCAAATTGGTTAAGTGAATGCTGAAATACCTTTAATCATAGTTCCTGCAAAATTTTAAACACTAAGCTATACTAAAAAATTCTTTTTAAATTTGATTAAAGATATCTTAGCATCAATCTGATCAAACTTGATGGACTTTTTTTTATTTTGTTCTGCTATCTTTACAGTTAAATAAAAAAATATATCTCAGTATCCACCTAGCAAAATTCAATGTGTTTTTTTTTGTTTGAATTCTGCTATATTCTACAATTAAAATTAAAAAAAAGTTCATCGAATTGATTTGGTGGGTACCGAGTCATCTTCGATCAAAATTTAAAAATTTTTTAAAAGACTAAAATGATCTACATTAACGGGTGTGGCATTATCAAAAAAAAAATTAAATGAATTAGACACGGAATCTTTTATTTATTTTTAGTTTTCCTTTTTTAAAAAATGAAAGTTAAATATGTCTTTTTGTGTAAAATCGTTATTTTTACGTAATTATCAAAGATAACAACATCGCCTTGAAAAAAATGAATCACTTTTTCCAAATGTGCACGATCTAATGTAGTAATTTTTGCGATGGCAACAATTACGAGTTTTTTAGGTTTGAATGATTCATTCCATCTATTAGGTCATCCTATTAGATTAACATAGATATGTACGTAAACAAGGAAAATAAAAAACTATAGTATAAAGGAATTAATCATCGAACACGGGACTGTTATAAAGTGGGCAGGATATAAAACCAATTCAGGATTTGTTAGCAAGACTGTTTCTGTAGTGTCCTTCGGACGATAATATGGCTCAATTATATATATTTAATTTAGTTTTTATATAGGTCTAAAAATTATTAAATAATTTAAACAAAAAATAATACTTTTATTAAAATATACCTATAGCACAGTCAAGTATTATTTTTCTAACTCTTTAGATATTTCAACCATTAAACTTTCTAGTATTATTAAGCTCAAAGTACTTCATGTGGCTATAGACTTTCTAATTTTAAAGATTATCAAGATCTGCCAGTGATTTATTAAATTGTTTCGTACGAAAATAGGTTATCACACGCTGCCGCAATACGAATGCATTTTTCCGCTCAATTCTTAACTTTATTTAATGATTTTTCATATTACAGTGCCCGTCTTTACGGTAAATTGCTCCACAGTATCCTAGTGCAAATGAATCTTCTGGATCAATAGCCAATGACATTTCTAAATCCTTGCGTGAACTCTTAAAGTTATTAACCATATACGGTAGCTCCACGATTTTTTAACGCAAATTCATTAGCGGGTTCTATTCGAGAGACTTATTTAAATCTACAAGCGAGTCAATATATTTTTCTATTATTCTATAAGATGCGCCGCGAATTCTTAACGCATTTGCATTATTTGACTCAATTATTGGTGATTTATTTAAATCTTCGAGTGATTTTTCATATTTACTACCATATAATAAGTACTTCCACGATTTTTTTAAAGAAATAGCGTTATCTGGATCGATTTCTAAAGATTTATTTAAGTCCCTGGGTGATTTATCGTATAATTTCATATAAAAATGTTATACCACGTTGTTGTGAATGAATCGTTAGGTTTAATTTCTAGTGACCTTACTAAATCATTAAGTGACATCTCATATTCCTCAGCCTTACAGTAATTTATTCCACGATATCTTAACGCAAATGCATCATTTGGTTCAGTTTCTAATGATCTATTTAAACATGGTATTGATTTATCATACGTATACAATATTGGGCAAAAATTGTCGAATAACGGTAATTTGGCAAATGAGCACGTGCCGCTTTGCGGCACGTGTAGCCAATCATTTGTCGAATTACCGTATTCGACAATTTGCCCAATATTGGTGTTATCCGGCAATTTATGATCATGATTGGTAGGGAGTCGCTCGCTGAGTTTTATTTTTTGAATATTGGAATAACATAATTATATCGTAACACATGAAAAAAATAACAAGAAGAAATTTTTTCATGATCATATGAGTTTGCCGGATAATTATGTAAATTACATCGTGAATTATTAACACAATTGCGTTAATTGACTCAGTTCTTAGTGATTCATTTAAATCTTTGAGTGATTTATTATATGTACTATGAATAACAAACATCAGATTTTCGATTTTATAACGTCTTAGCTCCTGGAAAACCTATACAGTCCAGTAAATTTAAAAAAACGTATTCTGGGGTTTTTTTTTTTGTGAAAACTTAACTATTTTTTATGAATAGTACAGCCTTACCTCTTTATGATCACTCCTATATAATCACATTATATAAAAACTTTTTATAATCACGCCTATATTTAAGCCCAATTACTATTTAATATATAACAAAAAACCTCTATCTAAGCACATCTCTTTACAAGAACTTTTTTTTAAAGAAGTTCCCAAAAGTGTGATTATAAAGAGGTAAGACTGTACCAGATTTCAGCTTATTATATCCACTAACTCGGAACGCCGCTTGATATTTCTGTATATTATTGGATGAGCTAAACAGACATCTATATCCAGCACTAACCTTGTGAATATTATTCGAAACTGTTTATATTTAAGACTTCTCCAGGGCACAAGAAAGAATTGTGTTTTATTGCTTTAAAGTTCCAAAATCAAACAATAATATCATCATTACTATATGCTGCTTAAGAAATTTGGTTATACTATGACTAACGAGATGGATTTGTGAGAAATACGATCAAAATTCCTTTTATTTTTATACAACATTTATATTATTTTGAGGTTAGACATATTTTTATTTTTATTTTTTTGCCTTATCTACACAAAATGACCAGTATGGAATGTTTCATACCTATGGTCTGAAAACATCAAAAAAGCCAACAAATTAATCAATCAAGTGCATTAGATTCTATTTTGCCAATGCAATTGTCAGCCGTAATGGTTATTAAAGTTAGATTTTATTATTTTATAATCTTGTTTGCATTCGTTTATAACTTCGTCCCCATGAAAAAGATTTGTATAAAATTTGTTTAATTTTTGTCTACTTTTTGCTTTATTTCAAATAAAACAAAAAATAGTCAAAAATTAGAATGGCGCTTTTTCAGACATTTTTTTATGGATGGTCGAAAAATAGCGACCCGGGTTGAACCTTTCTGACCCGGATTACAACCCGGGTCAAATAAGTTATATATGCCAAGGCCAATAACTTTCGTAACTTTTCGGATTTCATTTCAGAAAAATTTCTCCACCTTATTTAAGTTCTTTCATTTACCACATCGGAAAACCCGGGAAAACTAAGTAACTGACCCGGGTCGAAACAATTTTTGACCCGCCAAGATCTTGATTAGGGTGTTCAGGATTATGCGAAAGCATAATATACGCATAATTTACCCGGATAAAATCGCATAGGTAAATTGTGATTGGTGGATAAGTGTATCGAAAGATGGCTGGCATAAATTCCATAAAGTTCTGATATAGATTCGTTTGACTCGGGTATTTTCTACAGGGGATCCTCAGATTTCCGGGTCGTAATGGCCGGAATGCGTTGTGGTTAGGGTCAGGGTTAGGGCTGAGTTAGGGTTAGCGGGAGCTATAGGCTATAGTAAAATTATCAGCCGGGCACTTTTCACTTAATGAACGACTATTGTTTCATTACTAAAATTCTTAGTGATCTTGGGGCAAAATTGATCATCTCTGGCCCTTCCGGCAAGAGTTCCGAAGCGTCCGACCCGGAATTTTGGGGATCTCTCTGTAGGAGTTGACTCGGGTAGACCAAAATTTGACCCGTGACCCGTCGAGTCGGATAACCCGTACGGGTCATTCGACCCGGGTAAGAGCCCTACATTTTTTACACATACAGCACAAATTTTATATAAATATTTTTTATAGAGCGTGATAACATTTCTATTTACACACAAAACAATTAATATATAAAGTTGTTATGGTATTAATGTCTAATTTTAAGCACTATTCATCTAATATTCAAATTCACATCTAACTTAACTGTTAATATAAATTTTGAATTAACAGAAAGTTTTTTA